GACCGAGAGGCACCGCCTTTATCTTTATTTCAGATAAAGTCGTTTCGCGTGCTTTTTCCCTCCTTGTCCCCAGGCTAGTTCACGAAGAGAGAGAGAGAGAGAGTCGCGCACGTATTGCGGCTGCCCTTACTTACAGGACACCGACACCTTTTCACGGTCGTTGGTAGACCTTGCTCTCCTGGGGCGTCGGCGGCGCCGTCGTCGGTTAGGTGCATTATTAAATACGGTCAGACGATGGCAAGCGTTAACCGGGTGTAACGAAGTAGGCAGCGCGCGTGAGACATATAGACAGTGAGCGAGTGGGCGAAGTCACTGAATATTCAGGCGCAACGAGCGTCTGAACACTATATTTCAATGCCGTCTACAGACGTTTGTTCCGCGACTATAAGTTTCCAGTTAGAAACTTCCTTGACAGAGCATAAAACCAATTTATACTTCAACGGGAAGTCCATAAAGAAATAGCTTGGGTTCGCCGCAGCGAAATCACGCTGCTAGGGCTGTCAGATCGATTCTTTACACATTTTTCGAGCTTGCATGATGAATATGAAGTAATCTGTAGAGAATTGATGAGATGTCACATTGACTCAGAAGTCAAATTTATGAAAAAATGAGTAGCTTAAAATCCGAAAATATATTGGTAGATATGAAGAAAGGAGTGCGTTCTGATTTCTAAAAAGATCGATTTTTGACAATAACAACTTTAAACCGATTTATCTTGCGAAAAACTGATTTTTCTAATTAAAAGAGACTATTTAAACCGATCTTTTTATAAACAACTTTATAAGTAACTAAATATTTTGAATTAAATGATAGTAATCCAATCTTTTGAATTAAAAGTTTATTTTATTTGTTTAACTTCTATATGTATATATATATATATACACAAATATAAATCCATTTATTTTTGTGGTTAATTTCAAAGTAAACAATCTCCATATTAACGTTTGCATTTAGTTTAATAAATAGGACAATAAATTTGAGATAAATTTATATCTTCTAATTGTTTAACTTCATTATTTTAATTTAACACATCGAATAAGAGAAGTAACGACCTATAAACGTAATTAAAAATAACTCAAATTGGGTATAATTACGAATTTAACAGTGTAGCATTTGGAAAACAAGATTATCAGTTATCACAAACATTCGAAGCCGGGGAGAATAAAGACTGCAAGTACGAATAAAGTAATTATCGCGAATAGTCATTGTCTTCTTTTGCGGCAATAAAAATTCGTTAGAAGTCGCGTGGGATTGGTCCACATTCCTCTAACGCTTCGGATGCGAAGAATCATTAACGTGACACGTAAGTGGCATTTTTCGTTCTATAGGGTCGTAATTAAAAATTCTTGTGTAGTTTGAAAGTAGATTCATACGGAAGTTTAGCGCGCTGGCGGGCCAAAGTTCCGCGCTCGCCTACGAATCGTGGCACTGACGGCTACTCGGCGCCATCGAACTAAATGATCATTAATTGCGAACCCTGGGTATATTATGCGAATTACTTGAGCGACAGCTATGTTGCTAATATTAAGTTCCTCGGTAGAAGAATGTCGGTATCTCGCTCAATTATAACTTTCTGTGAAACTTGCTTATTAGTGACATGAAAAATTCAGATCTATCTTTGCCACTTTATGTTGATATATATCTGTTATTTGATAGTTTCAAGATAATTTTACTTCGTCAGAATCTTACTAAAGGCAGAATAGCAATAGAAACTAACAAAATAGAGTTTAATCTGTCTCCATATTAATCTTATAACATTTTTATATGTTCCTGCGTATTATTATTATTTCAAAAATTGAAAAATTAATTATTTAGTAATAGTTTTTAATATGAATTTTTTATATTAAATTTTTAATTAAGTAAAACTATACGTGTTTACTTACAAGTTTGTATATATAGGTATTCTCGTTGGTGTACGCTTATAATAATAATGATAATAATAAAAATAACAATAGCCATGATAACAATAATAGCAATGATAATTTTTACACACACGTTTATGTATAAATTATTATATATAAATTGTTTAATAATTTATGTTTACAAATTTTGTTTTACTTGTGATAATGATTTCAAACAACAATTAAAATTATATGATAATAATGTCTTGATACGATATAATTTTAATTTGGTACATATTCATAGTTGTGATGGTAATAGCCAAATTCAATCATACAATACAGCATCACTTCTCCGAGCTCGTTACCGTATCATCATCGTCAGTAACGAGCTCATATCGTCATTACGTTCACTGATTCGCGAGCCGTGATCCGTTGTATTGTTAGATGCGAGATATCCCTGAGAGGGAAATACAGGTAATAAATAATTGCTCACTGCTGTCTTTGTTATCCAGTTTGTAAGATTCGATACAAACGCTCTTAACTACATTATGAGTAACGTAGAAATCTCGTTAACGATTTCAATTTAATTAAAATGAGCTATAAGTAGTGGAAATACAAATGTAAAATGGAACAATTAGAATCGTTGAATAAAATAATACAATATTCCTCTAATAAAATTAGCAATTATTACAATTGATTACAATAAATGACAACCATTAAGTAAAATATTTATATATGTGTTTTAATGCTGTTTATAATAGTTATCTGGCGTTAAAGAAATCATTACATTGCATTGTCGTGTCCAACTTTAATAATTGAAACTTATTTGAACTTAATACGTGTTTTTTTTTTTTTTTCAGGAGATACTTGTTTTGGCAGGTAAACTATGGGTAAACAACATGACGTCGGTGGAATCCAAGGTTGAGCAGGTGCTGGTAAATGGGAAAGAAGAAGAAAGGAAAGGCGCGCGAGGATGTAGGCAGAAGGGAAACCCCCGGGGGTGGCTCGTGCGCGGGCGCGGCTTGCGGGTCAGAGTGCGTCGGGTATATAACCGGGCGGATGCCGTCGTCCCTTAGTCTCGCGCTTATCGTCGTCGCGACGACTCGCTCGGGCTCGACGTCGATGTCGTTACCGTGATTTGTGACGTTTCAATGTGCGGTGCATACCGATTTATGCCTCGCGCCAATCGGCGAGGTGTCCGATATCAGATTGTAGGCTTTCGAGAAGTATTTACGTTTATTTCGCTCGAATAAGCGAAGAAACGCGGTAACTGTCACCTCTTATGATATCACCAATCAGTGGAGGAAATTATATTTTTACCCTTGCGATCGCATTTAAGCATCTTTATGATAATGCAAATCGTATGCTACCACGCGATTTAACTAAAAATTAGAAAAGTAACAAAAGTAATCGAAAAAAACAAGCGGTGCTAAAGTATTGAATTTTTCAAGTATAATATTTCGATAACGAAGGATCGAAGCTATTGTTAAATACCTCTAATTAAAAATCGTCCATAATTTTCTACCTTGCGAAATTTCTCCGTTCCTTTGTCCGAAGTCATTCGATCGATTTGGCGCGAATGAACAAGACGAACGTCGAGGAACATTTACTAGCTGCTGCTCAAACGTCGAGTACGCCCGACTTTTGTCTCGAGTGACATCTCGTTGAAGGCAAGCAGGGAGAACCATACTAGTGAGATTGTCGAGGCGTCGGAAGTTCGTCTCTAGTTCTCGCATGCCCAATGGAATCGAAGAAAAAATCGTCGTGACACTTGTCCAACGATTGAATTCGACGACGTAGGAAGTGAAGCCAGAGGAAGAGAGGGAACAAGAAGAAGCGACCAAGTGGCAGTGGCGCCAAGGGAAGGAGATAGAGGAGAGTGGTAGCGAGAGAAGCAGGAGGTCGACGGTAGGTGAAGGTGCTGTCGCGGAGGATTTCAAGCTGTGCCCTCAGCGAGATACGAGCCGTTTGTATAGATCTATGTGCACAGTAAAATTGTGGCGACGGAGGAGCTCTGGCTACGAGTATCTGGGTCACACAGCCGTCCTCTCGTTGCACCCTTTTCTCCATAATTCTACACAATTTTCCGGATGCAGCAAAAAATGGAGACTCATCACTGACCGTGGGAGTTGTCCCTCTTGAAGCGCACGAGAACCGCATCGTCGTGGAACGATCAAAATAAATCGTTATCTTTCGTCGAGCAATCGTCGTTGTGTTTGCCCGTGACGTTCCGCAAACGTTATGTCAACCGTTAGGGCTCACGAAATGTCGAGCGCCGGTAGAATTGTCTAACGCTGTGTTCCGTGTCAACGTATTGGTAATTGAAAATCCGTTCGTAGAGTAGATGGATAATGAGCGTCAAATGCGCGACTTGCTCCGGAGCGAAGTCGCAATTTATAGAACCGTAGCGTTAATGTCACTTACGTCCGAGAGCGGTAAGTGAGCTATAGACATATCGTTTTACTCTGCCGGGAGAATCCGTAATGATCAGCGCGGATCAGTGATTTGTGGCTAGAGAGCGGATCGATCCAATACCGCGCTCCTAGCGCGGTAACGAGCTGTTACGTCGTTACGCGGTTACGTAAAAAGGATCCACTTGGATCCCCCTTGGGGGTAATTCCCGAAGAAAGTCCACGCGAGGGCTATTATCCGAGTCGTGAGCGGTTTACACGCGGAACCCGCTGCCACCCTTCATCTAGAACACGCTCGAGTCGGGCCGATAAATAATGAACTTCTGCAGTCATTTGTCAAGCTCATCGTTGGACAAACGAATGCTCGTCGAGGTAGCGTCGTCGGCCTAAATGGGAGAGATCAACGCGAGGTACCGGCTAGCACCGCGAAATTTCGCGTCGCTTTGCCGCCAACGTTACGCAAGAATCATGCCCCTTTGACTCGACCGGGAATCGAAGAGCCAAACGGTATACAAGCAATTGACCTTTACGATTTGTCCGCTTGTAAAGCTATTGATGAAACAAACGCCAGAGGTGAAATGCCGAGGTTTGTAATTGAAACCGGTGCTTAGTAGCGATCCTTAAACGCACTGAAAGGACGCAAATACGCTTTACGACCGTGAACTCCCATCTGAGCGTTCGCCTTAGAAATGCGAGAGTCAGTTGATTCCGATCGCGATCAGAGTAGTCATACTGGGCAGTGCGGTCAATCGCGCAGAAGATAACGGTGTCCGAAAAAACGGCTCGCGACTTCATGATAGTACTCGCGCTTCGGGACGCTCGCGAACGAACGAACGTGAGAGCTTATCTCGTGCGAGATAACGAACAGCGCCAAGCAACATGAGGCGACGGAACAACGGTTCCACTTGCTTCTGTCAGGCATCGTCGGTCAAGAGAGGTGGCCGTAACGGATGCAACGAGACTGAGGCGAACGAGCCACCGGGATGGTGTATCTACGCGGCGGTCGCGCTTGTCGCGGTTGGCTGTTACCTCAATGCGCTCGACTGCGACTTCGTGCACGACGATATACCGGCGGTGGTGAGGAACAGGGACGTGATCGGCGAGGCATCGTGGAGCAGCGTGCTCAACGACGATTTCTGGGGTACGCCGATGGAGAGCATCAATAGTCACAAGAGCTATCGACCTTTCACCACTCTGACGTTTCGGTGAGTCAATATTTCTCTCACGTTTATCGAACTCTTTGTTGAATTTGTCTGAAGATTAGACAGAGGATTGACCTAGTTATTTTTGAGTAGACAGCTTTAAGTCAATGACCGAAAGTATCGCGGACGAGTAATCGAATTAATTATACTGTTGGATTTATACTAAATTATTTATTAATTGTCACTCGAATAATTATTTTCATAGCTATAGATTCGTCCTGCTATTTATTAGACATTGTTACATTTTGATTTGATCTGTCTTCGCTTTCTTCCTTGCGGCTCGTTTATCAAACTGGTCCTTTAGGACAATCCGTTAAACAGAAAAGTGAATACGATTCGGTGCACGGTCGTATCCGTCCGGATGAAATAAGACGGCAAGAAATTGTCTCGAGAAACGTGTCTGGTTGGCTGACGTTCCAAACACATGGCACAACCACGTAGCTTGCAGCACCGGCATCCTGGTCGTTCTTACTGGGACATCTTGGATCTCGTGTATACGTATATATATATATTTTGTATGTGTATACATATATATATGTATGTGTATGTATATCTGTACATATGTACGTATGTACTTTCAAGTACACGTACATGTGTAGCTACATAACCGTACATAGATATATCCCATGCAATCGGAGATGCACCTTATGGTCGTACCACTAAGGATGGATCGGCAAGAACCGTTCTCTGACCACGACGGAAGCGACCGAGCATACGGTAGTGTGTGCGGTAACGTGTCGTGTAGAGCACACCAAACTTCCACCCTCTCCCTTCTCCCTCCTGACCATTCCTTCCTCCCGCCCGCTCCCTGCCCGCCGATTTGATGCATGGATACCAGTTTGCCACTCCACGTGCAATACTGCATATTGGCTGGTATTGGACGATCCATCACGCCGCAAGACACCGGCACATCGCTCATCCACCCTTAACGCTCCAGATGCTGTTGCCAACTTCGACGAGGTGTGCGGGCGCGAAACGCGGCGCGGGGACGGGACGGTTGAGAAAAGGGAGCAGTCGGGGGCGTAAGGGCGAGGGCATAAACGCCTCCACGTTTCGCGCGTTATCGGAAGTGGAACGCATCCATAATCCCCGGGCGCGCGGAGACGCCGGCGCCGCGACGCGCCGCGAACCGCATTCGTCTCGTCGAGAAGACGAGATTTTAACGATCTCGATCGCCACTGACGCGCGGAGGCCGCTTTTATATCGTGCGGGAGAGAGAGAGGAGGGGGGCAGAGGGAGGGAAGTACGATATCTCTCATTGTTGCCGCCACTCGATTCCAGCGAGAAGGAGAGTGGTTTATGCGCGTGCGGAAAATGCGCCGCTTACGCTGACACGCGGTTGAAAGGATAAGCGAAGATTTATGTGTCAGCCGTTTAAGGCGAGAGTTGTCTACAATATTGGACGGTTGATGTATGGTTACTTTTCGTCATTTGTTTGACGCAAGGGGCGTACGTGTGTATGAGAAAATTAAGAATCTCTATCTTGTCTGATAATCTATTCCAACATTGTATTGCGTTTGCAGAGCAGTCGCAAATAAAAAAAAAAAAAAGAAAAAGAAATCTGATTCGAATACGTTGGATTTTCTTTGATCGTCGATAACACCGATAATTCTTTCTGTGCTGGCAGCAATCGTGCTTTGTCGACACGCAGGTGGAAAGCTTTGGACAATTCCGCGCGCCTTTTCCGAGCACATACATATATGCTCGATTTTCCATCCTTTCCGCGTGATGCGTCTCTTTTCGTCGCCTGTTCTCTTTATTCCCACGAAACTCTGACAGCCCTTACGGTATGCCGCTTTGAGAATTCGAGTTCTCGGATGAAAATGCGCCGGGACGACCCCAAAAGTCCAGAGTGCATTCGTGGCAGTTGACCCAACGCCTTCCGCACGGACCGCTCCAAAGTTTCCAAGAGATTCCCCGGGTACTTCCTCCAAGCAGTCATCGTATTCTGCCATGCTGGCGTATAGTATATACTTTTATACGTTTTATCTCGTCTATATCATCGTACCGTATATGGTGCACAAAGGATAGGTACACCCTACAGGCTGATAGACGTAGGCAATCTTATACTCAACGTGTGGTGGCATATCGTTTCGTAGATCTCATCAACGATCGTTCCCCCTTGCGTTTAATTCGCGTGTTTGATCGCTTCGCCGACGTTTTTGACACGATGGGTGCTAATTGAGATGGTATCAGCCGCACGCGGCGTTCTTATCGCGAAGGGATATTTGGCAAGCAGTTATTTGCAGTCCGCGGGATAAAAAAAAAATGGGATTTCATGCAAGAGTTGTACATGTATTTCAACTACTTCGTTTCGGGCGGAAATAATTTACGGGTGCGGTCGAGCGTGAGTCTTTGCTCCGGCGTCGAATGAATAACGCAGAAAGACCTTACCGAGAGCGATTCGTTTCCACGTTTGCGAGAGGGCGAGCTTCACGGGTTGACGACCACGTTGGATTATTACGTCCGCAAATAGACTGCGGAATATGCTCCAGATAGTATGATAAAGGAGAAAGGCTGGATAAAATGAGGTGACGGCTTATTATCCCGACTGAGAGAGTATACAGGTATCTAATAATACGCGCTCACTTATCAAGATAATGTATCAAAATTGGTCGCTCTAATGCGGGCTTCGATGTACTTACGGAATGAGATTAGCGCGGGCTATGAAAACTGTTCGATTAAATCCAAGAAAATTAGGATGGTCTCTGACGTAAAATTGTGGCGTGCTACCGAGTTAAAGTCCGTTCGGTAGGTATGCGCGAGAGCGATTATCGAAGCTCAGGAAGCTCTGCAAACATTAAATTTACCTATCCAATTAACGCAGCACACTCGTTCACGCGATATTACGTTATTTACGTGCAGTTCAATTAAGAGAAATCTCCCTGTCCTCGGCAGAATATTCGCGCTTCCCTATTACGTTCTTCTCCAACGGATTTATCAACGCATCCGGTGTACCTTGATAATACACACATTACACACTCACTCACACGCTTTCGCTCACTGAGGCCTTTGTACCTATACAATAACGATCGATATAATCGCGTTCCAACCACAAGTTGGAACTTATACCGTTTCCCCCCAGAGATTCTTCTTTGTCTCGTCACTCATGGCCAGGAGTACTGCGCGCTTTGCGGTGAGCTCGTGGCCAAAAACCGTGACGGTGAATATTCACTGATTTTTTCGTGATAGCCCACGGCAACAAAACGTCATCTGAATTTGATCATCTCCGTTTGGTTTGTCTGCGTTGGAACATGAATTCGATCCATGAATTCTGCTATCTGTGTTAAAAGTCCCTTTTATATATCTAATATTTTGTATCCTATATTTATTCTTATTATATTAGATTAGATATTAAATGGTATCAACCGAAAGAGAAAAACAGAGGCTATCTTAAGGAGCTTGTTTATGCTGGAGTGACAAATTATTGAAACATTATTATAAAAATCTCCGAATGTGTATGTGTGTGTGTGTGTGTGTGAAAATTGGATAAAATTAAAAATCCTTTTAAACTTTTGTCAGGTAGACGCACAATTAGGAGTTGATGCAGTGGATTTTATACTAAAATCGAAAAAAAGTTAGAAACTTACTTATTTTTCAACTTGTAGAACAGTTACCGTTGATGTTTTCTTAAATCTGAACAAACAATACTGAGTTTATGAAACTAAAATAAAAAACTTAAAAAAGATTTATATTGATTATATCTGCAAATTATGTGTAATGCTTAGCGAAAACTCGCAATGGTAAACGAAACAGTAATTGTGTCTAGCAGTAAATGCTTGATCTTGTAAATGGGATGGCGATGCAATATGTTAAATAAGGGTAGATGTATGCGTTTGAATGAGATAGAATGATACAATGTAAGAAATTAGTAGATGTCACTATTATCAATATTTTTAATTTAGAGTTAAACAAATTTGTACTATCAACATCGATCAAGTTCAGCCGTTAGTCCCCAGCATGGCCTTAAGATCTCCCCTTAAACGATGTCTCTTATTGACTCATTCATACGCTTGTTAGCATTTTACTAGCATTAAATCACGATCAGCGACTAAGTCGGTTAGGCGTTTAGCTGGTGATTTATGAGTCGGCCGACAGTGGCAATGGCCCACGCTTTGCGGCCGTCTCCTGTGAGGGAATAATTATTATTAAATTACTTGACCAGAGGACGCAACGTGGTGGAATCTCGTTCCGCGGCGCTACTGACACGCATGAATGATTGCGCTGCTAGCTCTAATTTAGACGTGTGATATAACTTTGCATTGCGCAGCATGTACGCCTCGTATTCGATTACGCCGCGATCTGTCGACTATGATATTTCATTTAGTCTTGCGATTAACTCATTATCGAGATAGATGGAATTTCATGTTATCAGTATTAATATTTGCTTTATCAATAACAATTCAACAAAGTGGCGGCACATGCTTTTCGATATGCGTAGTATATATATTTTCTGTTGAGGGACAAAAACGTGCATCAAAATTGTAAAGTCATTGAAATAATGTGACCATGTAAATAATACATGTCGTTGTCTTTTTCATGCTAAAAGCATAAACATGTAAGTTTTTAAATATAATAAAATTATCGAATTGTATTTAAAGTTTTTGTACTGATAACATGAATTTGTATGAAACGGTAATTTCTATGGATTCGCGAGATTTTGCTAAAAGTTAAAAATTTATTGAAAATGCTTTATTTAATTTGAACTAAATAGTGCTTAAAAATATTACGGTATGAATTTATAATGTATATCCAGTTTTGTAAAAATAAGTGCAATTTACAAATCTAGACATGTATTACAAGTTCATAGTGAAGTAAGTACAAATTAGTATTTGTAAATATACCACAGATCAAATAAGGTATTTTCCTTTCAAAGATGTTGCTCTCCGCAATTTTCATGAGTTTAAATATGTTATTTTCTAGACAAAAATAAGGTATATATTTTTTGTAATATCTGCGGGGTAATACCCTTTTGAAAAAGATCAGTTATTGTTTTTTTAAAG